AACCAACGGAATCTGAAGCTTTCTATTCAAATAATTGTTTGAAACGTTTATCAAGGCTGCCGTTGCTGTTGTAACTAAGCACTTTCCGTATTTCTTTTGCATCAATATTATTGCTGACAGTTTAATGAAATCCAGTCTATCATCCGCACTCGTGTTCGAAATAATTTTGTTGTATTTTCCTCTCACGTTCGAGGGTGTGAATCATTGGCTGAGCCGGAGGTGTAGTGTAGAATCTCCTGAATTCTCACCATTCATGTCTAGTATTACCGTGAGAATGTTCATTTTACGTTTGCAGGGACTTAAGTGTGTAACAAGCCTCTACATGAAAGTACGGCAGATTATTTTGTCCGATTATCGATCAAGAAGGATGCCGACGTATTGCATATCGAACATTTTACATGCCCAAGCAGGGAATATAGGTGTTTGATGTCATATTTTACAACTGCTGATCAACACGTACACACTCGTAAAAGTAAAGTCTGCTATTCACTCTCGCTTCTGAGTTAAACGGCCAACAGCACTGCCCCCTAAAAGAAAAATTTCAACCCAAACTTTAATTTGAGTGTGTGCGAGGATTGGAGTATCTAAAAACTAAATTTAAAATTTTTGGGCCCTACATGGGCAGAAAAGGTCTGACGAGTCCGGAAGTCTCAAGATGTTGTTTTTGGTCTGCAGAAAATTTTGTGAGTTTTGTTTAGAGTCGTTTTACAACAGGTCAGTATTGTCTGAAGACCACTCTTATGCATGAACTACATATGATACTCAGCCGCGAGCGCACAACTCTCAGTAGCCCTTGATTAATTACATTATTGTTTCTTTACTGACCAGGTGCAGTGAAATTAAAACTTTTGCAAATGACCTTGCAAACGGTCAGTAAAGAAACAATAATGTAATTAATCAAGACAGCATTCATCTAGGAGGTGGTTCATATCCATCTTTTTCCGGGTTTTGAACTAATAACGTGCTAGCTAAGTCCAAGCTTGATCTGCCACTCTCGCCCATTTCTTTTCTTTCAACAATCGTACTTTCTTCATTAGGCGCCACTAATAAAGCCGTCATGAACTGCTTACAGAACAATGAAAAGGAATATGAGCTATGTTTTGCTTTGGCTTTGCTTTATAGGCTATGCTTTTCTCTAGTGTGTGTGCTCTACAGATCAACCTGTTTTGTTGCTAGCTATCGTTTCGATGACACGCACTTTGTTAACCAATTTAGACAAAGGTTTAATAACTGGGTGTACCCTCGACATTTACAATAAAGCGCTTGATATTCCGTTTTAGGTTAACCACTACAACGATTCTGACAGTGACGTTGACCAAACTCTTCACGAAGGTATTCTCATGTCCCAAATGCTAAGATATTTCCGTGTCTGTACTTCTTTAGAACGATTTGTCTGATGGACTAGACGACTACTTAACGTTTACCGGGAAAGGGGCTGCGACTTACAGAGATTAAAAAGATGTGTCCAAAAGATTGTGAATAGAAACATTATCCTAAGCAAGTACCTATACTGCAATGACCATGGTGTAAACTTCATTCGTGAATTGTTATTCGTCAACACTAACTGGATGTAACAGAGCGTTTATTCTTAATATGATTACTTTTAGTATGTCAACGCAAGGTGAACCGGGCGCCCAAACGTAGCAATGCGGATAATTGCTTTCTCCACATAAGTTTTTTAACACTTGCTTCTTCTTTCCTCTTTTTTTTTTTCTTTTTTCATATCTCTTTCTCATTAAACGTCATTTTCACTTTCACATGGCCGTTAGAAGGCTGTACTGATGATCCTCACCCCTAACCGCACCGCGTACTGTCTGGGCTTACAGCTTAGGTATGAAACACAGACAGCCCCTTCTTTTACATGCTACTCTTCGCATGATCCGTTTACATAACAAACGTTTTACATACATTTTTCACTTAACAATGTTCTCTAGCCTTCACCCCTTTCGAATTATTGGTCTATTGCCTCCGGCCTGACTGTTCATATTCCGTCGTTGGCTTCCCGTTCATGTGATGTGGGTTAGGTCTCCACGGCCCGTACTGTCTTTTAATAACCAAAATTTGAAGTGCAGTATTCTATTCGAGCGAGCAGACGTGTTTAGTTCATTTGGATCGAATCAGCTAGAGCCGACGTACTGGCTCCATTATCTGAACACGAATTCTCTTGGTAATCCCGAAGCAAATTTGGAAGAGGAGCGTGTGGCAAACTAGCATCAACGGCAACAGCCATTTCCAGTTTTGATGCGTTTTTGTCGTGCATCGCTAGAGCGCTGCAACGGACAGTTGAAATACCCGGACAGACAAGCACACACACATACACACTGACAGGGTCGTTACAATATGCGCTTTTGCTGTCCGTTGCAGCGCTAGAGCGGACAGCAAAAGCGCATATTGTAACGACCCTGTCACTGTGTATGTGTGTGTGCTTGTCTGTCCGGGTAGTATTTCAACTCGTCAACCACGCAAACTTTGAAGCTGAAATTTTGCCAGTGTGTTCCCAAGTCAAGTGCCACCCCGGAAGCGCGGTGTCAGCTCACACACGTCTTGGCCCCGCATACGAGCAAGTGAAAGTTTTGGCGAGAAGGCTAATAACTCGGAAACGAGAACAGAAAGGCTAGAAAGTTAGGGGAATGTTCCCTACCCGTGTATGACAAAAAGATTTCAAATTCAGCTGCCCACGACTGCCCAGGGCTTACGTACGGGCAAGTGAAATTTATGGTGGGAAAATTCATAACTCGAGAATGAGAAAAACTAGAAAGTTGAAACTTTGGGGCTGTGTTTCCTACTCATGCATGACCAAAAGTCTTCGAACTCAGCTTCTCAGGACCGCCTGGGGCTTACGTACGGACACGCGAAAATTTTGGTGCGAAAATTACTAACCCGGAGCGGGAAAAACTAGGAAGCTGAAACTTTAGGGGGATGTTTTCTACTCATGCACGACCAAAATCAGGTGTTTAGAAGCGCCCAGGGCCCCACATACGAGAACTTGAAAATTTTGGCGCAAAAATTACTAACCCGGGAGCGGGAAAAGCTAGAAAGCTGCAATTTCAGGGGACTGCTCCCCACTCATGTACGAACAGAGAATTTCAAATTCAGCTCCTGAGAGCCGCCCGGGACACAAGTATGGGCGCGTGAAAATTTTTACGGAAGAACTATCAAATCGAGAAAAAATAAAAGCTGGAAGGCTTTAATTTTGAGGAAATGTTTCACACTCGTGCGGCTAAAAGATTTCAAATTTGCGGGACAGCAGCTTTCCATTTGTCGGGTCACTGAAGTCGACAAACCACATAGTTGTACAATTAACTTTTCAGTATGTCACAAGGTTAGCTACTGTGATTCCTTGCGATCTTGCTACGACACGAAAAGTTCAAAAATGCATAATGGCACCGACCCGCCTAGTGCGTTCCAGCCTGGATTTAGGTTTTGGTTCCGCTCTTTTTTCCACAAGGTCCACTTAAAATTTGAACTTCCTGTCATGTCTAGTTTGGAAACCTGAAAGAAAACTTTTCCAATATTTCATCTAGGTTTCTGGAACGTATAACTTGGACATACATGCGAATTGACCCGGCTTAAAGAGGCCTTACACAAGCCGGAAACACTTTCGCAGAACTTTAGCATTTAAGCTTCTTTCTGCTACCAAAACTCAAGCAAACACTCATAAATACATACAATTCAGCAACCCTACATCAGTATTTGTTTTTGCATTTTCGTCAACAAAAACATAAAAATCGTAATTAGAAACAAAAATTGAAAATACTAAGAAAATCACGAACAGTGGAACCATTTTTGGTATCCTCAACCTTGCCTTACAGTGAAGTTTTTTGTGTTTTATCCCTTAGCTTTTAATTTGTAAAAAAATCTCACTTCTGAAATTTTTAAAGAAATTAAATCTGAAGTCATCTTTTCCTTACATATCCAGTTTTGCGGTTTATACGAATGAAAATCTGGATGCATTGTAAGATCATAAGAATTAGGGAGCCCACAACAATCTGTTGTCTTTCAAACAGCGTATTTTTTGATTCCAGTCGTACCCAAGTGTACTCAGAGGAAAGTTACAAATCTACGATGTATGTACTAGAAATTATGCTCAGAGCGATTTATTTTGACATAAATCTTTCAGCGAAATTTTATGCTGTCTAAGTAATTGAGACATGGCTTTTTTACAATTAAAAGAATTTTTGAATGCTTTTCAGTTCTAGGAAGACTCTTTGAATAGCATATGGAGCTGTTTAGATGACAGTGTCCAAAACAGAAAATTACGGCGAAATTTCCGGCTGAGCCAACAGCGAAATGTAGCGGGACGTAGGAGCAGTGGATTAGCTGACCCGACAACAGTTGTCAGTTGATTATCCAAATAAATTTATAAATAAACACTATCACCTTTCGATATTTGTTGTCGTAACAAGTTTCCAGCTGATTGGAACTTCTTCGATATGTTTCAAAATAGATTTCATCGTCAACAGTTATTCCTTTTTGATCTAACGGATAGGAGCTCATAATCGCATAGCGTCTAACAAGATATTCCGATTTTAGCAAAATTTGCAACGCTTTCGCATTTCGCAACTTTGGACATGTCCTGCAGCAGAGCGCAAACATATCCACAGTTCTAGAAGAGCTATCCTGAAATATTATCCATATAATAGATGCGACAGTTCAAGTGAGTATCCTAAAAAAAAAAGCTGTGCATGCCAGGACAGCTGGTGCGAACATGCTTCCTGTGCAACTGTGTCCAAGGAGAACTTATTCTTTGAAGTTCTTGCTGCTGTACTGTTTGGTATGTACAGAATTTTCTGTGCCAAAATTAATTTTGGACCAAAATTTTCGTATAACCGCGCTTGTCGGAAAAAAACTCTTCTCTGGGTGGTGGTTCAGCTTGACAGAGTTGCACTGGTCAGTCAGTATGGCCTGCGAGTACAGTCGACGACGCAGAAAGCCGAAAGCCAGATGCCTACGAGTGTTAGTGCAGGGGGCTCGGCTGGAACAACTGAGCTGGAAAGAAGATTGTAGGAGCCAAGGATGATCTAGGCACGGCCGTCCCGGACCGATGATTGTAGGGAAAGTATCGAGAGCTAGCCGCTTCTGGAGTGTCAGATGGAGGACAAAAGTCCGCCGGCAGTCACTCGGCCCCAGTTCTCATAACTGCCCTGACTATTAGAGCCAACCGCTCCTCCAGCAGCGCAAGACGGACTCATGAAGAGCTAACTGTCTGTCTTCCTTCGTCGAATTTCGTAAAAGCGACTAAAAAATGGACGGTAGGGGGAGGTTGGCCGCTATCGCCTTTACAATTTCAGCGACCGCAAAAATATGTTAAGACCTGGTAAATCCACTAATCTAGAAACACATAAAATTAAAAGCCTTCGCAAGATAACGGCGTCATGAATAACCTGCAGATGTCGTTATCGTGATATAAAATCGTCAGAGTACGGATTCCTCGGCTTTGCCGGCAGCATGTGAGGGCTGGAGGTGCGCGGGATTTGAAAATATCCGCGGGATAGGGAGAATTCTCTGAAATTTCAGTTTCCTAGCTTTTCTAGTTTCCGAGGCAACAACTTTCACGCCAAAAATTTCACTTGCCCGTGATAACTAGGCGTATTTTAAGGCCGAAATTAAATTTACTGTATTGCGTGTAAACATGAACCTTTCTCCTAAGATTTCAGTCGCTTAGCTTTGTGGCTCCTAGACTATTAGTTTTGGCGCCAAAACTTTTGCTTGTCCGCACGTGAGAAAAGGAGCGTTGAATTTGGGTCTGCGCAGGGTCTGAACTTTATGCAAACAAGGAGCGTTCCTCTGAACTTAGAGCCTACTAGCTTTTCTGGCTTCTGGGTTATTATGCTTTTTTGCTTATATGCAAATTCCAAAACTCATATTACAAGGACCCTGTGTGTGTATGTATGTATGTGTGTGTGTGTGTGTGTGTGTGTGTGTGTGTGTGTGTGTGGGTGGGTGGATGGGTGGGTGTCTTCTTCTGTCCAGATATTTCATCTCAAGCAAATTCCAGTGCCAAGATTTTGCTACTGGATTTCCCGCTTAAGCGCTACTCCAGAACTGTGACGCCAACCCTCACTCATGTCTGGGTTCCGTGTACGAGAGGTGAAAGTTTTGGCGGAAAAACTGATAAGTCGGGAACGAGAAAAGATAGAAAGCTGAGATTTTGAGGTTACGTTCCCCGTTCATAAATAACCCAAAACTTCAAATTCAGCACCCAGGTATGCATGGATTCCATGTACAGCCCCATGAGGGTTCCTGCCGCGAAAATCGCTAGCTTGAGAACCAGGAAAGTTGTAAGGCTGAAATTTTCAAGGAATGTTCCTAGCACAAGTGCAACATAAACCTCTCAAATTCAGCCCCCGGCCGTATACGGTTCTCACGTAGGACTCCATGAAATTTTCCGGCGAGAAAATGGCTAACTCGGGGACTAGCAAAGCTTGGAAGCTGAAATTTTCAGGAAATGTTCCCTGCCCATGTACGACTTAAAGTTATCCAATTTAGCCCCCAGGCATGCACGGTTCTCATGTACGGCTTGTGATACTTTTTTGGTGCAAAAATGACTAATTTGTGAACCAGAAAAGCTGGGAGGCTGAAATTTTTAAGGAATGTTCCCAGCATAAATACAACTTAAAAATTTCGAACCCAGCCCCCAGGTACACTTCCAGGTCACATGCGACACCGTGAAGGTTTTGACGGGAAAACTGCTAACTCGGGAATCAGAAAAGCTGGAAAGCTGAGATTTTTGGAAAATATTCCTCGTCCAAATAAAACTTGAAGGTTTCAAATTCACTCTCCACTTACGCGTGGTTCTCTTGAAAGTGCACTTAAATTTTT